GATCGAAGTGGGATTTCTTTAATCATTGACCCTCAAAACTGCGCTGACACTTGACCTGTTTTCAAAACCTACCTTCTTGTCCTGGGTATAAGAGTAACCTTGAGCACAAATTGATATAATCATTTCTTGGTTAACTTTTATTGACGCGGTTGGTACTCTTTATTGGTTAAAAGAGTCCCGTCGAATACTTTCACGAAAATTCTTAATATGACCAGTTGACGATAAGCTCTCCCATATATCGACAATTTATTGGTATTCAATGTATATAGGTACTGCATATATTATAGTGTGTATTTCATGAAAGGTGACTCAACGGTAATCTGGTCCGAGGTGCGTGCGAGTACATGGATTAACGATGTAGATTTCGTTAGTATTCGTCTTGCGGTCCACCAAAATAGGAACATTAATAATAACGTTGCAGTGAAAACATTGCAAAAGATGTCAAAAGACTACATCTTGCTAATTTGCATTATACCCCAAATCATTTCACAACTTTCTGATACGACGCTTTTATTTCCCACGCCAACAGGAGAGCGAAGTATTTTAGTTTCGAATTCGAGATAGTAGTTATAGACAAATATAACATATATGGGGAAATTCTCATATTGAAATGTTCCTCTATTTGTTTGAACTTCATTTCTCAATCCTGGTGAATTTCATTTAAAAAAGCAGAGCTCTTGTTGCATTTTTCAGATCATACCAATGCAATAATTGCATGGAAATGGCGGCGCAAATATATCATCTAATCACTTGGAAACACTTGACAAGTTTAAATTCATCAAGGCTTAAGAGAAGCTCACGCGAAAAAATTCTAGTTTAGATGGACAGTCCAAAATAAACAGTGCTTTTCAAACTGCCCCTCCTATTTATTTTTTGAACGGGCTAACTTAGCGGTGCGAATAAATTGACGCACGGTATATTTTAGATTATGTCCATTTATACCAGGATTTGAGGGCATTATTTTGCGTGTGCCTCTCCTAAAGCCGTGATAAGTTTAAGCCTATCTAGTGTTTTCCAGAGAAAAGCCCACTAGATGATATATTTGCACCACCATCCTCCTGCTATTGGTATGATCTCAGAAATGCTATAAGAGCCCTGATTTTTTAAATGAAATTAATCAGGTTATGCCTTGAAACATGAAAAACTCAGTTCAAACAAATAGAGGAAAATGTCAAGGTGAGGATTTCCTCAAGTATGTAGAACTTGATCGGAGAGTTAAGGGTCGTTTCTGTAAATTCTAAATGACGGATTATATATTACGCCATTCTCCTCTTTAACGAAATCGTTGTCACTGTTGATGGATGGTCACATTATATTTTAGGATCATAAAGTATTCGTAAGATGCTTCCAAATGAGCTATCACATGACCCCCATTTAAGAGATGTTCCTAGCCGCCATCTTGAAATATTAAATTATTATTTTTATCTTCAAATATATCTAGTATTTACGCATCAATTTCATCACTCCAAAGGGTAACACTATACTTTAAAGCTTATCGCCAATAGTTCATTTCTTACTATAAAATGAAAGATTAGGATGTAACTTGCACGAAAATATCATTTTTTCTTTAAGGAACCCATCGCTTGCTATTTTATAGTACTTCAAAGTTGCATTTTTGGTGGTAATACTCTAGAATGGAATACTGTTTTATACGCTTTTTTTTGCTTTTTGCACAAAATTATGCTTTGAATTATGAGAATATAGCATACACTGTATAGTAATAAGGAAAATAGATGTGAAACTGTAAAATATCGTTGTTTTTTGCCAAAAAAGGGTCAAAATCAGCCGTGTGATTAGCTAAAATAACAGTTCAAAATACATACGTAAATGATGGTATTGACTTGGTAAATTGTATAGAGGTGTTGTGTTGTGATTTTTCAGTCTTCTTGAAATTCCTTAACCATTTTTCCCCGTATTTACAATGAGATCAAATTTTTTGCGTTTATAAGAAATACTTGAAAGTACAATCAATTCTGAATAGCCATTTTATAGCGTTCATTTCTTGACAGATAAGAGAAGTGAGTTCCATTGTTGCCAAGTTGTACCTTTTTGGGAAAAATACGTGATAAGAGATGAGGTTATTTGCGAAATAAAAGTCTTAATTTATTGTAAATGGCTTGTTTTATGAGAAGTTGACCCAATATTTACTGAAAACTAGACGAAATTTTTAACAGTATCTGTCTAAACAGTTTAAAATACACCAGCAGCTCGCGTGAAATAGAAAATACAAAAGGCACCAGCGTTCATTGCATATAAAAACACCCAACTTCGATTCGTCGATTTAGACCACCTCGCTAGGTCCACCCAACGTATCATCGTCCAACATTATAGTTAAATAAGGATCAACGATCATTTCATCAAATCATCAAAAAACTTGCAATGTTCTTTGTTATGTTTTCATTATTTGGCAACTGCTGCTTTTTCAGTTATTTCTCATATATAACACATTTAATTAGGTATATTTTATGACATCAGCTTCACTTTGAATAATTCTTCAAGTAAATACATACAAAAAGTAAATATATTACAACTATAATATAGGAAAAACAATAACTGAAGTACTTTTGTGAAGGGCAAAAGGCATTCTTCAAAAAAGTGTGTTTAGCTAACGCTATCGTAGGACACAAGCTGGATTTAGTACAGTAAAACCTGCTGGCCACACCTGCAAACCGCATTTTCATGACAATCCTGTGCCGATTGCACATTTTTGCGCTAGTATATCAGTAAGAATTTGACAAACTAAATGAGGGTATATAACTATCCATGATTTGGCAACATAGCAACTAGATGGAGAGAGTAGGATAGTGATGGTGGTGGATGGTGGTGTAGTGATGGGAATATTCATCTGAAATAAAAGAAATTGCTACTTAAGAATGAACTATTTTCATCATTAAAATAATGCAAAATTGCATTATTGCGATGAACATGGTCATAGTAATTTACATTGTATGTTATATTTATATAATTTTGAGCAATGTTTTGTCTAAACAAGAAAAAAACAGCTTATAATGCAGTATTCTATACCACAGTATTATTACACTAAATGCGACTTTGAAGTTCTATAAAATAGCAAGCAGAGGGTTCCTTAAAGAAAAAATGATATTTTCGTGCAAGTTACATCCTAATCTTTCATTTTAAAATAAGAAATGTAATATTTGCGATATGCGCTAAAGTATACTTCAGCCCTCCAAAGTACAGCTTGATAGGTTTTCCCCGTTAAAAGATAAGTAGGTGGGGACCTTTCTGAAAAGCACTGTATACTTATGTATATGTATAGCCATCATGGGATTTCAGGACGGAGAGATGGACATCCGTTTATATGCAGGTTACATGTACGTCTATTAGCGCATCCTATTTATAAAACATGCATTTATCTATACTGCAGCAATTGCTTGTGTACCACTGATTGATTATCTATCACTGAGGGTCGCGGGCATAAACCGAGAGGATTGAAAACTAAGTTAGTTTGTTGCTGGTAATATATGAAATTCGTGGTGAAATCAGTCCCATATATGTATGAATGTAGTAGTCAGAATATTATGTCATGATTCGAATACAGAACTCCCGAGATTGTCAATTTCATATATTTTCAGCAACATACCAACTTAATTTTGAGTTTTTTTGGTTGGTGCTCGCCGCCCCAAGTTTGTAGAATTGTATTTATTGCATAAATTACAATTGTTGTCACCTCTCATCTAATAGCTTTGGCTAAATCAAATATGAGGCACCCAGTTGTATTTTTACCATAACTATAAAGAATTTAATTTGTCCAGGAAGAATGTATCGAATGAAATCGCAAAATATACATTCAGCTTCCTTCAGATTCCAGAGCAAGATGTATACATGGAATTTACGATGAAATCATATACTGATAGTAAATGAATAGGACACTCATCCAGAGATAGAACAAATATACTCAACATCATTTCTGTTGAACGTTAAACTTGGAAAGAACTCAGGCGTTCATACTCAAAGAAGTGGAGGATGAACAGATTTACAAAAAGAGGTGGTCCTATATGTTATATTTGCTGCAGCGTCGTTATTGCAAGATAGTCACAAGCATTGATTGAAACGTTTATATTTTACCAAAAAAGGAATACCAGTAAATCTGAAACAATTGCGAACAAGTTAAACCATTAGGAGCGATTTAACCGTTGGGACATTTTATTTAGCTTCTAGAATATTGTTGCTAAGTAAGTAAGTTTTCAATAAAGGTGTCTATTTTTGGGCATCCAATCTACCTAACACAGCCGCCGAGTGTTTCAGATTAAACAAGTCGGTCATCGTCTGCAATCAACATCATATCGAACTACATCTTAAAGAGTTTACTTTTATAAAATATGGTAAAGCTCCAAGCTCACTGGCGGCATATCTGTGGGGCTATAAAGGTACGGATATACCGAGGATGCATGGATTAGCACGGTGGAGGTCGCGGTCGTGGTCGAGGTTCACATCGATGTCTGGCAAAACAAGTCGAAGATGATTTCCTTTCAGTCAAAGCTTTCGGCATTCAGTGTTCTGTGAGGTGTCAGAGGCGACCGACGTAATTCGGAAAATTTCGCTAAGTCTTATTATTGAATACTTAAGAATGAATAGAAGCAACAGTAGTGACGATAGTGATTGTATGTCTGCAGGTGCAAAGTGGTGGATTATATGTAATTCATCAATTCGCAGGTTTAGTGCTCATCCTATAAACCAAAAAAGGCAATATCTGGGGGAATACCATCACTTGTTTAAAGAGCTTCGAAATCATCCTGACAGATTCCATGCCTATATGAGAATGAGTTTAGATACCTTCCAGAATATATATGACAACATAAAAATGAAAATTGAACGTTCCAATTATAATAACTATCATATTTTAGCTGAAGAAGAACCGGTAGTGACAATAAGGCAAGTGAAACTACATTTTTAATTTTAGTTTACATTTTTAATTTTAATTTACATTTTTAATTATTGTAACTTAGTTTAGTTTAAACGTGTATAGATGTTTAAAACGTCTAAATCCGCTGAATTCTGATTTTGTGATATGGATGAAGAAATTCATACGGCAGAAAAGGCTGCTTACTCCAAAGTGGTTCATGCCGAGAAAGACCAGGTTGAGTATATGGGGCATGTTCTAACTGGATGGCAGGAGATTTAGTGTATGAGGCGTGTTCCACCTGGGTTGCAGGAGGTACTGAACGGACCTGCGTCTGCTGATTTGAAGGATATAGAATTTCAAGTAAATAGTTCTGCATATCCATTCGAAACTTTAGTTTATCTCTGGGGGCCAATTTTTTCACATAAGGAAGAAGGGAGTTGAAAAACCCTATATCATCATCAATGGGGTCCTGGGAAATTTTATTTGCCCGTAAAGCTAGCTTTTCTTTTTCAATGTCAACTAGCTGTCTCCCAATTTCTATTTGTAGCGTTAGTCGCCGTTTATAACCCGTTTGAGAAACTGAGTATTTTGAACTCGAAGTAGCATCACTTACAGTTGAGGTTGTTGCAGCCACATCTTGTGATTCGGAATTATTACTCATCACATTTGTTATTGAGGTGGATGTGGATTGTTCAGCGTCAGTATTAGATTCCTCTAGATTTGAATCCTCTGAGTTGCTGTCCACAGTGTCTTGTGTTTCATCCATTAAATTTGTAGATGAGTGACGAGGTGTGAACTGATCGCGTAGAAAATGTAATTTTTCAAAATAGGGCAACTGGCAAACAATTTCATCTTCTGCTCCTGACCGACCCTGAATTTTCTTTATTTGTTTTCCATATTCTTGCCTTACATTTTTCCAACATTTTCTTGCTTCTGCTTCTGTAACAAGAAACCAAATTAAAACTTGGTCTTTTCACGACCACAAAAGTAATCATAATTAGTTGAAAAATTAATTTATACGAATGCAAAAAAAAATATATGTGTATTAATTATCCTTGCTTCGTAGTTTTTCATTGTTTTAACATGATATTGTTTTGTGTCTATTTAAACTGGCCTGATTGAAACCACATATGATTGATTTGAAATATCTATTGAAATATCTATTTACGTTTCGACTTCAACTGTAGTCTTCATCAATAGATATTTCAAATCAATCATATGTGGTTTCAATCAGGCCAGTTTAAATGGACACATATCAGCATGAAAACCATAGGATAAGTTTCAGGTGTTACAATAATATTGTTTGTTACAGATATCTTGCGACAGGATGTAGCTTCAGATCATTGGCCTTTTCGTTTCGGATGGGATCGACGGTTGGAAAAATTATTAAGGAAGTATGTGCAGCTCTATGAGAAGTGTTCCAGCCACTTCACATGAAACAACCCACAACGGCTGACTTTTTGCGAATATCTGAAGAATATAAACGACTTTGGGACTTTCCAAACTGCATTGGATCATTAGATGGCCAACACGTTCGAATAAAGTGTCATTCCCACTCAGGTTCCATGTTTTTTAACTACAAACATTACTTCTCCATAGTTTTACAACGGCTAGTTGACGACCACTATAGATTTCCAGGATTCAAAACTTTCCAAATTGTTAGAAAAAAATAAATTAGGAATCCCAGAGGAAAAAAAATTACCTCATTCTAACCATAAACTACCTCATATTTTTATTGCCGATGAAGCTTATCCCCTAAAAGAGAACCTGATGAAACCCTATTCCGGACAAATCTTAAACTCGCGCTCGAAAATGTGTAGAGTGTGCATTTGGAATATTATTTTTGAAATGGAGAATTTTGAGTTGTGTAATTGAAACACACGAAGATACTGCCGATAGTACTATTAAAGCAATCTGTATACTACATAACATCATCATTGATAAAGAGTCATATCTTTTGAATATTTTAAACCTTCCTCCAATTCCAGAAAGATGTAATTTACAACGGTCTAGATCGCATAATGCTTCAACTAACCATAAATCCTTTAAATTTACAATAATAATTTGTTAGTATGCATAATAACACTGTACAGGGTTGAACATTAATTTTAATCTTATAAAAAAGGTTATACTTAAATAGAATGTTATTATTTTAATATACATACCTGTCACTTTAATTTTTGCTGCTATTTTCTTCCACTCCCTTGCCAGAACATGCCTGTTGTGATGCTGTTTATGGCGCTTATCCCATAGAGCAGGAATACTAGACCAAATCTATTAGTTCATCCTCATTCATTATCCATTGTCTTTAACGTAATTGAAGCAAGGTAGAAATAACCCAAAGTTCTCACAACCTCATAACAACGACAAATCACAACAAACTAAAAAAATAAATACGTTCCGCATTTCCTACTCATTGGAGAATGCCACGTGATTGGAAGAGCACCAATAAACGTGCAAGTTTACTTCGCGGCAACAGCTCGATCGCCATATAAAATCAAACTATCTTGTTCTGCTATCGACAACAATAAACAAGACGACAGCTGGAAGCAGGCGTGCCCCAGGGGTCAGCCTTAGCCCCCCTGCTCTACAACATCTATACTCACGATGTGCCGAAGACAGCTGACACAATGCTGGCCCTATATGCAGACGATACTGCTATAGCCGCCAAGCATAGACGACCCGAGATCATCCGTAGGAGACTACAGGATGAACTGGACCACATCCAAGACTGGTGCGTGAAATGGAAAATCCGCATCAACGTCCAGAAGACGCAGGCAATCTTCATTCAACGAAGAAGGATTCCAAGACCTCTCGAAGCATCCATCTTCGACGAAGATATCCAGTGGAGCGACAAAGTCAAATATCTGGGGATCGTATTTGACAAGTCCCTCACCTGGAAAGCCCACATAGAAGCTGTCATCGCAAAGACCAGAGCAGCCATGGCTCAACTCTACCCATTACTGGGTAGACACAGCCGGATGCCGCTAGCGACCAAGCTACGGCTGATCAAGGCCATCGCCAGACTTCAGCTCGCTTACGCCTCCGCGGTCTGGGGGTACGCTGCCCCCAGCTACCGCAAGCGACTTGCTGCTCTAGAGATGAAGCTACTCCGGATCGCCACCAGTGCACCATCCTACGTAAGAAACTCAACCTTGCGTAGAGACCTGCATTGGGACACCATCCACGAGTACATGAGGAAAAAAGCGGAGAAGACCTTCGAGAAAGCTCAGGACCACCCGAACGAGCAGCTACGATTCCTCATGGACTACGATCCGGACGAGAGGCCTCGCAACCGCAGAACCAGGTACCCCAGACCAAGGTCCCAGTTGGCACCCGCTAACTGGAACCTTGACTAGGAGACTAGGAGAACTCGTGGTTGCTCCCCCCCCCCACGGCGTGGATGCAGAGGACCAGGAACCACCGGGACCAGAACCCACCGGGACCAGGACCAACCAGGACCAGGACCCGCCACGACCAGGACCCACCAGGACCAGGACCCTTCAGGACCAGGACCAGGAACAACATATTGGTAAGAGGACTTGAAACTCTTGATTTTTCGAAAACAAGAGTTTCAAGAGAACCAGCAGACCCTCTATCGATGATCGCTTAACGACATCGATAGAATGTGCGAGGTAAAGGGAACCAACCCGGCGTTCCCAGAGACTGAAACACATGAGGAGACGTTGTAGCAGACCGCAGGTCACGCACAACACATGGCCTACCGAGACGCTGATGAGTCAGGCCACGCGGAGGTTTAGGGTTTAGTGGGTATTAGGTGATCTCCTCAAGACCCTGGAGTCCCACACACGCCGTAGCTCGGGCTATGGTATGGTGCCTAAATGCATTCCCCCCTCACCAAAAAAAAAAAAAAAATGCTATCGACATCGCTGTAAGCCGCGTTGATAGGCAGCGAGGGTGAATGGGTGAAGCATCATTGGTATGTGCGGTCTTAATAAAATAAAAGGTTTGTTTTGACATCGATGTAACTATCGCGACCGCGACCTCCACCGCGCTCATCCATGCATCTTCGGTATGTCCGTACCTTAACGCTTGACTTTATATGCTACAGAGGCAAAATATCTTGAAGTTATCTTTGAACAAAGACCATTATGGAATTCTCCGTATACATCATACGTAATATATTTATTGAAGTGCTCTCTCCGTAATGGCCTTTTCCTAAACGTAGGTATCTAAGGTTATAAAAGTGCTCGGCCCATAGTGGCGTACTTGTCCATCAAGACGTTTTGGTGACTTTAACGTTACTGGACGATAAAGCAAAAAAATGGGCTCAATTTTCTCATTGTTTCCCACATATTGTTATTTGTGATTAGTCAACAATAGGTTCCAATGGATTTGTTAACTGTTTTGACTATCTCGTAAGGTATCCAGAAATTTGGAATGTGGAAGGACGAGGCTTGGAGATCTGTATATATTTTCGCTAAAGCTAACGAAGTACGGAGACGTTTCGAAATTTTGCATTTTTTGCTCCTCCACTGAAACCGGGGATGACCGCTTTCTGCATTCTTCCTGCTTGGCATACCGGTATGAATTTAATTGCAGGTAGCAGTGTATTCCCCATCCCACCCAAGGATCCAATGACCATGACTAGCAGAATGACAGTATGATTTGGCTAGAGCGTGCGAAGCTGATTGAGGAGCTCCTGATATTTGGCTTTTCTTCCTTATAGACGATGTTCATGCTTGTTCGACCGTGGGGAACGCGTAATTCCAGTAAGTCCTGCATTTCTCGTTCTCCGCAACAGACTCAATATCCTGTTATATTCATGTCATTACTAAATCCATCACTTTCATCTAACTATCTAACAGATGTTATATTTTTTTATATCGGTGACGTTTCATAGGTAACCGCAACTATATGTTGTCACTAGCTGGAGAAATGTCACAAACACTGGTTGGTGTTTTAAAGTATGTTCAGTTTCGAGAATTTATTTCTTACCTTAGGCTATTGTTAAATAAAATGAAACAATGGAATTACCCTTCTTTCATAACTGTCAGATATGTTATTTATTTTATTTGGCAATACTCTTGTTATTGTCTGGGTGGCTATGGATTGCGTCTAACTGCTAAAAATTAACTCATAAATCTGCTTGCAGAAATCTTACTACATATATATAACTAAGGATTATTTCATGTTTTTGTATCATTTCATAGTTTTTACTACGGGACAACGTGACTCTATTAGCATCGATAACGGCCACAGTTTAATACCTACATATATACTTACCCGCTTCCAAAGAAACTAAGCTGTTGCTTACCTGAAACAATAATTAAGCAACTAATTTATGATTTTATTTTAAAGTATCATACAAAATGGGATCAAGCAGGTCGGAACCATCATGGTAGTACTCCACCAATGACACCTTACTTCTCAAGCTTGGTATAGGAATTTGGCTCTCAACATATTTTTTCCTTTTTGATATTTTCTAGATGTTGGTGAATCACTTTGTGGTATAAGATAACTGATATTTTACGCTAGCATACAGATTTCATGTATGTGATACTGCTGTGGTGCACGAAGTATATATACCTAACCATAATATACATGCGTATATAAAGAAACTTGACATCGAAAACAAAATTCTTATGCAATCCATCATAAAATACCGTTGATGGCAAAAGCGCGATAGGAAGAGTTTAAGATGCAACATACAACAAAACTATATGAAACACACGTATGAGCGCTTTAGAAGTGAACCATGGCCACCTGTGAGGTTATCGGCGTAATTCAGATGAAAAAATCTTTGTAAACACGTCGTCCAAGCTGGCGTCGTTGTTTGAACAAATGAAGGCGAATGCGGTAGATTGAATCCATTTTCGACGGAATGCAGTCGCGTTTTTTTTCGGGGAAATCGCGACACGAGACACCAGAAAGTTCCGTCTTATCAGAGCACTTAAGCTTAGATAAATAATAAGATGCTAC